TTGGACAACATTTACTGTTGGGCATCATACAGTCGAGTTTGATTAGTAGATCGACCCTGCCAAATCAAGGGTAGCCTTGTGTCCTGTGTGTTGGCGACCCATGCCCTCTACATTTCCACGACAGCGTCCCTCGGGAGGGTCCTCTGTGTCCTCTCGCGTGCCCTCCCCAGTCAGGCTGGACCGTGTTGGGCAACATCTGCTGTTGGGCATCGTGCCTATTTTTCCCGTGCCCCCCTTCGGGCGCCCAGAGAGGCTATGCGGAGGTGCCCCCCGGGTGCGGTGTTCTGGGCGAGAGAGGGAGAGGGAGTCGGCGACGAGCGATAAAAAGAAATGAGTGAGAGAAGGCTCTCTCAGAAGGCGGCGGGATTTCTCAGAAGCCCTCGCGCCTTTGAGAGGTTTTCTGCGCCTTCGGGGAAGGCTGGGGAGACTTGTCGGAAGGCCAGGGGACTTCCGAGCCTTCCGAGAAGGCCCGCCAGTCCTCGCTTCCCCCCTCGCTCGCCGCCGACCAGAGAGGTCCCCGGAGGTCCGAGGCAGGCATTCACACATGACCACCGCCTGGAGGATCAATTCTCGGGGACCTCGGCAGGCGGTGGATATGGACACATTTTGGCCCCCGGGGGCCCAAACATATCCATACCCACCGCCCGTCGGGGCGCCAGGACGTCGATTCCCAGGCGGTGGATGTGGGTAACGGTGAGTCCCCCCCTCGCAAGAGAGGTCCCCGGAGGCCCCCCCGGTGCGGTGCTCTGGGCGCGAGAGAGAGAGAGAGGGCCTCGACCTTCGGCGCGCGGGCGAGGGGGGCCTGCGCAGGCCCCTGCTGGCCGACTCGGCCTCTACACTTCAGTCGGGCGTGTCCCTCTACAGGAGGAATACTCAAAAATAGTCTGGGGACGACTCTTGGATTATTTTTGACCATATTGGGGTATCTTTTGATTTTCTGTTGTTTTTGTGATTTTTCGTCCCAAATCCGCCTACAGGGGGACACGCCGACCTAACTCTAGATCCATCCCCCTCCTTCGTTGCCATGCCTCCCAGAGGATCGATCCCTCGACGATCTTCGATCCTTCGATCCTCCGATCCTCGGTCCTTCGATCCTCGGTATTCGATCGTTCTTCGCGGGCCAGAGGGGTTCGGAATAGGTGGGGTCGGAGGAGCGCGCCGCATCGCCGATGCATCGTCGACGCAATTCGATGAGGAGCCCGATTTGCATCACGTCGACGTCGCCGACGTCGGCGATGCATCGCCGGTGCACCGCCGATGCATCGCTTATGCATCGCCGATGTATTGGCGATGCGGCGCGGTCTTCCGACCCTATCTACTCCGACCACATCTAGGAGGTGGCTACATGAGCCTGAGCTTTCCAGTGGATCGATCCCACGATCCTCGATCCTTCTAGCCTTCGATCCTCGATCCTCCTTCTATCGATCCTTGTGCACTGTTTGGTTCCTCGGTCCTTCGATTCTCGAAGCCACGGGGTCAGAGGATCGTGGGACAACAGGGAGCAGAACACGCGTTGCAACCTGTTCGTTCCGCTCCGCCGCCTCCTCTGTCCGCCGCGCCCCTCCTGCCTCCCGCCGCGCGCAGAGCGCGCTCCTCGAGAGTGACGCGCGGCACTTCTTCTGCAGCAGCTGCTGCTCCCGCCTCCATCGTTTCGGCATTCCCGATGGTGTCAAAGAGCAGTCAACACGCCGAAGGAAGGGCCACCTGGGGTCAGGTCGGGCGTAACCCTCTACAGGAGGAATATTCAAAAATAGTTAAGAAATAGTCAGGGGACGATTCGTTTAGCATGTTTTGACTGTTTTGGAATATTTCTTGATACTTTGAAATTGTTCTTCAAACATCGACCACTTCCGTTCCTTTTCTTGCGTTTCTCAGGGGGAGGGGGAGGGGGAGGAGGAGGAGGAGGAGGAGGAGGAGGAGGAGGAGGAGGAGGAGGAGGAGGAGGAGGAGGAGGAGGAGGAGGAGGGAGGAGGAGGAGGAGGATCGCGCTGCATCGCCGAGCGCATTGGCGATGCGGCTCCGATTTTTTCCCGTGCCCACGTCGCCGATGCATCGCCGACGCCGCCGGTGTATCGAAGATGCGTCGCCCGCTGGCGCGCTCCGCGGGCCAGGGAGGGGACTTCAGCGCGGATCCGAGACATCCACACGGACCTCCGAGAGTTCATGTTTAATGTAGCTGTCTGCTCTTCTATCACTCGTCACCATGAAGGGAGCGGGTCCCGAGGGGAACGGGTCCTGAGGCTCTTCTGCTCTTTTGGCCTCCTGGGAGACTCCACGGGCCACAGGGCTGTCAGGAAACGACTCGGGATGAGGACTCGGTCCTGGGCCCGTTTCCTGCAGGATTTCGGGGCCCGTTCTCTGCATAGCAGCTTCGCTTCGCCTGGCTGGAATGGGCAGGTCGTCGATGCCGAAGGACCCCAAATCGATCGGACTCGAGGAGCCTACCCTGTGATCCAGGCGTTGCATTTCTTGCACTGGGCGTTATCGCCCGGTTTTCGGGGGCCCAGGGATCATCACAGATCGATCCAGCTCGAAAAATGCAGCAGAAGGATGGGGTCTGGGGCTCTGGTCGTGATGTTCTACGACGATGATTTTTCCGCAGCGTCGGATTTCAAGGGAGGCGCTGGGGAACTTCGGGAGGCCTTGGGTAAGCCTTGAGGAGCCTCGGACGCCCCTCGGAGCCTCTTTGCGAGTTCTGGGAGGCGCCCGGAGAGCTTGAGGGCCCTGGGCAGCCATCGGGTGAGGGACCATGGTCGGGGGGGAGCGACCTGGGGAAGTTTCTCCGAGCGATGGGGTCGCACACTCAGCAGCAGTGCCAGCATTGCTTCTTCGAGCCTTTTGATCACCAGACCCGCCGGGCTTTGTAGAAAGAGACCGCGTGTGCATAACGGTGAAGACACGCGGTTCGAATTGTGGTTCGAACCAGAGAAACTGCATAACATTGTCTTGGGGAGGTCCGCGCGGATTTCTTGATATGTGCTGGGCTCCCTTGGCGGCGCTTCTGTCGCCACCGCTGGCGCCCTCCGCGCGCCAGGGAGGTGGCTGCAGCGCCGATCCGAGAAATCCGCGCAGAGCTCAGACATTTCTTCTATGCATGCCGTGTTCTGTCCCTCTACCAGTAATGAAAACAGACGGCGCTTCGAAGCTTGGTGGCACCGCAAGACTGGCCCGCGGACTCTTTGGCAAACAGGAAGCTATCCTTAGCCATGGACTCGCGTCATTGCATTTTTCTCTGCTGATCTGTGCTTAACAGCGCTGCAGCTGCTCCATCGCCTACCGTCGCTGCCTCGGACTTCAGGCCGTGCTGGTGCCCCCGGCACGCGAGCCGCAGCCGAATATGCTTCCCGCCACGCTCGCCATCCCCCAATCCAAATTGGTTTTAGCATTGCACAGCAGGAGGTGACCGAGCCCCGACGACCGAGATTGTCCCCCCATAGGCCTGCAGCGGCCAGCAGACAGCCCACGGACCCCAGCCCATCTCACCGCGGCGCAATTCCGAAAGGATTGCGAGGAGGAGGAGGAGGAGGAGGAGGATGAAGAGGAGGAGGAGGAGGACGAAGATGTGCAATATTTCCCCCCCCCCCCCCCCCCCCTCGCCCCGGCGTCGCCCTCGCCCTCCTCCTCCTCCTCCTCCTCCTCCTCTCCTCCCTCCTCCTCCCCCTCTCGTTCTCCTCCTCTTCCGCCTCCTCCACCTCCTCCTCGTTCTCCTCCTCCTGCTCCTGCTCCTCCTCCTCCTCCTCCTCATCCTCCTCCTCCTGCCAGTCCTAGAGCGTCTAGTCTGTCCAGACATCAAACTATGCTCTAGAGGCGTGCGTCGTCGTCGTCGTCCTCCTCCTCCTCCTCCTCCTCCTCCTCCTCCTCCTCCTCCTCCTCCTCCTCCTCCTCCTCCTCCTCCCCCTCCTCCTCCTCCTCCCCCTTCTCGTCGGTGCTCGATGCGGGCGGCCTCTCTATTACTCAAGGAACAGGGCCCGCTCCGAAAAAACAGGCAGCTGTAAACAAGAGGTAACCGTAGCATCTTAACACGTGGAAGGAAGCCGACTTAGGCGATGTGGCCTTAATCCACCTCCTCCTCCTCCTCATCCTCCTCCTCATCCTCCTCTTTCTTCTCCTCCTCCTCCTCCTCCTCCTCCTCCTCCTCGCGGACGAGGGCCGTGCCCCAATCCGTGCTAGTGACTCACGATGCAGGCTTGTGTACCGCCCAGTGCTCAGCCCAGTGGACCTACCCCTCTAAGATTTCTGAGTGGCGCAACTGCCACCAGAGTTGCAGCCGCTTGTGGTGCTGAGGTGCCCCAGCATCGGTTCCGCCCAGCAAAAGGGAAGCATAGTTCGAAGACCTTGCAGTTTCGACCATGGGAGGGTTCTGGGGACTGATGTTGAGCCAATGTGACCCCTCTTGACCAACTTCATTTGGGCTTATCCAGCTCAGACCCCCGGGACGCTTCCAACACGAGGGGTCGAAAGGTATGCGAGGAACATTTGTCAGTAGTTGTTGTTCTGCAAGGCCGTTGATGATATTTGATCTGACTCGCTAACCCCCCCTTTGCTAAGCCAGCCCTTCGTCCTACCCAAGGTATGTCCTTGGGAAGGGGTCGGGACTTCTGGGTTTGCGGGTTGAATAAATCACATCGTCGCCCCCCCCCCCCCCATCCGCATCCTCTCTCTTACTTCCCTCCTCCCTCTTCCTCCTCCCCCCTTCTCACCTCCTCACCCTTCCGTTCCGCCCTCGCCCTCCTCACCCCTCAGTCCCTCCCGCTCCTTTTGCCTCCCTTCGCGGCATCTGTCTGCAGAGGGAGTGGCCAGCCCCCATCTGGCCGGACCAGCCCCTTTCGGGCCGGACGGAAGGGCAGTAGGGTAGGGAAAGGGGTGGGGTACGAAATCTGTTGCATGCAGCTGGTTTGCGCCCCGACGCCGGGCTCATTCCTCAGTACGTCGGCGCTTTTCGGCGCCAGGAGGCGGCAGGTAAACAAACCAGCTACGTTAGCTGATCCTCTATCCTACCCTTTGCTACCCCATCCTTTCTCCCCCCCCGACAGCCCCTTCCGCTCACGCCGCGTCTCAAGGCTGAGGAGGTCCAGCGCCCTTTGCGTCCCCAGACCCCCGACGCCGTGGCTTTTTCGCGGCGTGGACCGTCGGAGGACTGGACCACTTCCCCAGGACCGCCTCTCAGGGGCGACGATAGGGGGGGATATGCATACGCAGGTCTAGGCCTCCTAGATGGGGTCTGAGTAGATGGAGTCGGAGGATCGCGCCGCATTGCCGATGCATCGACGATGCGACTCGATGTGGAGCCCGTGTTTCCCCACGCCGACGTCTTCGATGCATCGCCGACGTCGCCGATGCATCGCCGATGCATTGCTGATGCATCGCGGATACATCGGCGATGCGACGTGTTCCTTCGACCCCATCTACTCGGACCCCATGCAGGAGGCCTCTAGATAGGGGGGGATTTGCATCGGGGGGACGCATCGACTCCCAATCGCTCACTGATCGCCGACAGGGGCCCGATAGCCCAAACCTGCCCAGGAACGTGCGGATTCACCATTTGGGGCCTATCGCCGATCTCTATCGGCGATGTATCGCCGATTCCAGGTCGATGTGCCCTCCCTGTGCCAGTCCCCCCGTATCGTTGCCCTACAAGGACGAAAAGCCTCTCGTCGTTATTTTTCACGGCGCGAGGGCCGGAAACGACGTTCCACTTCCCTTTGTGGCTTGGTTCATGGCGCGAGGGGGCCTTGGGCCTCGAGGGAATGTACGTCTAGGCCTCCCAGACAGGGCCTGAGCAGCTGAGGTCGGAAGATCGCGCCGCATTCCCGATGCATCGGCGATGCGGCTCGATGCGGATACCGATTTCCGCCACGCCGACGTCGCCGATGCATCACCAGTGCACCGGCGACGCGAGCTGCGAGCGGCGCCCGCAGCACTTGGACCTGCCGGAGGCCCCATCTGCCATTCAGGCGCCATCCTCGCCGTCGTATTCGTCGTCCTCGACCCTCGATCCTCGATCGTCGATTTCCTCGTCCTCGAGCCTCGATCCTCCTCGATCCTTCTCGCCGTCGTCCGCGTCGACGTCGTCGTCGTCGATTCGGACCCCACCCGGGAGGCCGCTGGGCGCGCTGTCCCACTCGCCCGTGGCGTCTCCTCGGGGCGCAGGGGCTCAATGCTTACCAACCAATCGGGACCGAACCCACCGCGCCATTGGAGGGCGTCGAGGGCCGTGGCCCGCGGCGGGCCCTGGACGGGCACACTTTGAGCCCTTTGTTGGGCACTGGCAGAAGCGAGATGAACCAACGCATGCCAACGTGTCCGCACGCGCCGTCGATGTTTGTAGCGCGCGCGAGCTCGGCAGCTCTCACTGCTGCCGCTGCTAGCCAGGGAATTGCGTGTCCGTGCTCGCCTTCCAGAGCCAGGCCCCGTTCCGAACCAACACCGCTGTCCAGAAACAGTTAGTACGAGGTGCCTTTGGAGGCCTCGCGATGGTTCGTCGCGGATGGTTCGCCCCGGGCGCGTCCTCCGGCACGGCGGGCGCGCGCTGCCCCCCCCCCCCCTTCGGCGTGGAGGTCTTGGTGCCAGGGCTCCGCTGGAGCAGAGTGTTGAGACATTTTTTTCTCCGCCGCCTCTGTCCTCCTCCTCCTCCTCCGCCTCCTCCTCCTCCTCTCTCCTCCTCCCTCCTCCTCCTCCTGCTCCTCCTGCTCCTCCTCCTCCTCCCTCCTCCTCCCTCCTCCTCCCTGCTCCTCCTCCTCCTCCTCCTCCTCCTCCTCCGCTCTCCTCCGCCTCCTCCTTCTCCTTCTCTCCTCCTGCAAAGCAATGCAACGCAAAGCAATGCAATTGCATGCAAACCAACGCACAGCAACGCAAAACAACGCGAAGCATTGCAATGCAAAGCAATGCAACTCAATGCAGAGCAATGCGAAGCAATGTCCAGCAACACAGCACAACGCAAAACAATGTAAATATATGCAAGGCAATGCAAAGTAACGCAACGCCGCGGCGAGGCGGCGACGGGGCGGTGACGGCGACAACGTAGCCGCCAGATCGACAGACAGGCCAGCTCCTCAGAAGAGAAGTGAGGATTCCAAGTGCAGGCACCGCTTGCGAAACACAAACGGCATGAAGACGATGTCTCGGAGTTCCGCGCGGACTTCTTGGATCGGCGCTGGGCCCCCCTGGCGGCGCCTGCGGCGCCGCCCCTGCTGCGCTCCGCGCGCCAGGGATCATGGCGCCAGCATCGCAGAGCGGATTTCGTTCGGAAAGCGAGAGGGTGGGCCCAGGGGGTCCTGGAGAATTTCGTTCCTGATTTCGAGGTCAATTTCGTGCGGATTTTTTTTAGGACAGGAATGAAGACTAAGACAAATCCACGTGAAATTCACTTCGTTTTTCGCTCGCCGCTTCGGGCAAAAATCCACGCAGAAATCCGCTGCAGCACGTCTGCAAGGCCGGTGCAATGACAGGGAGAAGGGGTCCAGCGCCGATCCAAGAAGTCCGCACGGAGCTCCGAGAAATAACGTTCGTACGTTCATGCGGTTTTTGCTTCTCCTACCGACAGCTCTTCGTCCTCCCCTGGTGGCACCCCAGTGAGGGCGGTGAGTGTCGGGTTGCGCACAGACAGCCCCCCCAGGTAGTCCTGGCTGGCCTCAGCAGGCCCCCCGAGTAGTCGGTCTCGACACCCTGGCGCCGCCTCGGGCGGCGCCCCCGGGGCACTCCGCTCCCCCGGGGTTGAGGTGTTGAGACCGCCCCGGACTGCTCGGGAGGCCTGCTGAGGCTAGCTGGGGCTATCCGGGGGGTCCGCCGAGGCCAGCTGGGACTGCCTGGGGAGATGTCTTTGCGCAACCCGAAGGCTCACCAACCCGAATGGGAGTTTCTTTCAGTTTCGCCTTCTCAGCGAAGAAGAAAAAACGTTATAAACATACAATTGGCGCTCCGCGCGGATTTCTTGGATCCGCGCTGGGCCACCCCAGCGGCGCCTGCGGCGCCGCCCCTGGCGCGCTCCGCGCGCCAGGGAGGGTGGCCCAGGCGCGGATCCAAGAAATCCGCGCCCAGCGCCAGCAGTTCATGACTATGGCGTTTTTTCTCCTCCTATTCTCAGCCCGACTCGTCGTCGTCGCCTTCCTCCCCTTGACGAGGGCCACCCCGTGGCGTCTCGCACGAACCCATCATCATCATCATCATCATCATCATCATCATCATCATCATCATCATCATCAGCATCAGCATCAGCATCAGCATCATCATCTTCATCTTCATCAGCATCATTACCTTCGTCATCGTCAAAAACAATAATAATCATCAGCATCAGCATCAGCATCAGCATCAGCATCATCACCACCACCACCACCACCACCACCCTCATCCTCCTCCTCCTCCTCCTCCTCCTCCTCCTCCTCGTCGTCGTCGTCATCATCATCATCATCATCATCATCATCATCATCATCATCATCACCCGAATCGTCGTCGTTGCCTTCCTCCCCTGGTGAGAGCCAGCCCGCGGCGTCTCGCCTGGCGGCGGCGCCTGGCCGCGCCGTGCGGCCCCGTCGCGGCCCCCCCCGCAGTTCGCAGGGGGGTCCACGGGGCACGCGTCCATCCCCGTCGTCGTCCTCCTCCTCCTCCTCCTCCTCCTCCGCCTCCTCCTCCTGCTCCGCCTCCTCCTCCTCCTCCTCCTCCGCTCCTCCTCGTCCTCCTCGCTCCTTCTCTCCTCCTCCTCCTCCTCCTCCTCCTCCTCCTCCTCCCTCCTCCCTCCTCCCTCCTCCCTCCTCCCTCCTCCTCCCTCCTCCTCCTCCCTCCTCCCCTCTCCCTCCTATCCGTCGTGTGGTCTCCTCGTTGTCCTTCTCCTGCTCCTCGAAGAAGAAAAAAACACATAAACACAAACCTTTGGCGCTCCGCGCGAAATTCTTGGATCCGCGCCTGGGACCCCCCTGGCGGCGCCTCCGGCGCCGCCCCTGGCGCGCTCCGAGCGCCAGGGAGGGAGGTCCAACGCGGATTCGAGAAATCAGCGCGGAGCGCCAAAGGTTTATGCTTATGTGTTTTTGTTCTTCTAGTTCCGCCTCCTCATCCTCTCTGCGCTGCGGTGTGCCCTGGCAGCGCGAAGTCGGCCAGTTGCGGCCAGCAATGGCTTGTTCCCCGCCGGTCTGGGTCAGGGGCCGCATGCCCGTAGGCCGGGGGGTGCTGAAAGCGTGGACCGTCCCGAATCATTGCAGCATCGCTCATTTTAACCTCGTGCGTGCCCGGTCCCCGGCGGCCAAGTCTCGCACACCGAAGAAGAACATAACCACACAGCCATACGTTGTCGGAGGTCCGGGCGGACTTCTTGGGAGCGGCGTTGGAGCCCCCTGGCCGCCGCCCATGGCGCGCTCCGCGCCACTCCAGGGAATCCGTACGGAGCTCCGGAAGCGCATGATTGTGCAGGTTCCCCTTGCTCGACCCATGCGAAACAGGACTGCCTCAGCGAGGCCCAAGAGGGCCCGAGATGGCTTCAAGATGGCCGAAGAGGGCCCCAAGAGGGCCTTCAAGAGGCACAAATCAGCCCGTCCCCGTAGTGAAACGTTCATATTCAGCATGCTCCCTTGCTTCGTCTTCGCAGTGCCCCAGACGCCCCCGAGGAGCCCCAAGACAGCCCAAGAGAGACCCAAGAGGGCCCAAGACGGCCCAAAACCAAGAGGCCCCAAAGCCAGCCCACGAGGCCCCCAAGACGACCTCCGGGAGACCCAAGAGGGCCTCGTTCGAAATCATGTTCCCGCAAGCCTCTCCGGGAACATGATTCTTGGGTTCCCAGGACGCCCAAAGACAGCCCCCAGAGGCCCCGGACACGCCGAAGATGGCCTCAGGACGGCCGGCGACGCCGCCAAAACGCCCTAGGAGCGCCTCCAGAGCCCCTTCCAAAGGGCCCCAGAAGCCGAAAATCATAAATTTCCAAATGGTTTTGGAATTATTCTTGCGCTCTCCCATGTTCCGCCTCCCCACGGTCCCGGACCGCGTCAGAGGCCCTTCAGATCGCTCCAAGACGGCCGAAGAGGCTCCCAAGAAAGCCCAGAGACAGCCCAGGAGGCTCCCCAGATAAGTCAAGAGGGCCTCGAGAGCGCCCCGAGAGAGCCCCAAGAGCGACCCAAGAGGGCCCGAAGAGCGCGACATTTCGAGGTCTCCGGCCTGAGAGGCTCTTAGGACGCCCCCGGAGGCCATCAAGAGGCTCCCAAGGCTCCCAAGAGGCCCCCCGTAAGCCCCACTAGGCCCCCAAGGGGCCCCCAGGGAAGCCCCTTGCGGGACCCGAAGACACTTCGGTTAATCGCATTTCCTATATAGCTTTCCGGGAGCATGATTCCTTGGGC